GACGGTCAGCGAGAAAGGAATTGTCGCGCCTTGCGGAAGAAAGATGATCGACACTGCAGGAAGTCTCGGATGATGCGCGCGCGGAAATCCGATCGTGTATGATCAGTATGTCAGCTGCTTGTGGCTGGAAATTTCCCTGAGTATAGAATATCCGGCAGCTCTGATTACGCCCGGAAATAGTCCTGGGAAACAAAAGGAAGCCCGGCGACGTTTTAGAGTGAAAGCCTGGCACGCCGACACCCGTCTTTCCTTGGGAACACATGCCCTGGTTTTCACCTTTTTTCCCTTTCATCCTCTTTTTATTCCCCGGCTCCAGATCGATTAGGATTCCGAGCATCAATTCCACCACTCGCTCATACTGCTTGCATTTGCGAACGCTGCTACTGCTCTCTTGATTCAGGCCATATCTCCTGCTGCCGTCTCGATGGGAACGTGCGCTTATCGCAGTTTTTGCTCCAGTGTGCGCATTTGCATTGCAGTGTTGGAGCTAGTGAGGCTCTTTTAAGCGTTCATACGAAGTTGCGAGATCTGACGCCTTGCGGACTTGACGAAATGGATGCTTGAAGACCTACGCCCCAACACCTCAGCAGGAAAAAGTGTGACGCTGAAGGAAAAAAGAATTAAAGAGAAATTCTGTAGGGGTTCTAAGAATAATTCCCGAAGTTTTTTATCGTTTTAATTGCCGAATCATTGCCGCATTCACACGAACGAGTATAAGACGTCATCGACTGTGAAATGTTCTTTTTGTTACAGCTTTCGCCTTAAAAACCGGGGGGGGGGGGCTATTTTGTTCGCGAATGGCGGAAGATGCACTTGTATTCAATTTTAAAATTTTCGAGTCGAAGGAGTGCATTCATTCTGGTCACGCTTTAGTTTCCAGCTGAATATAGGTTTAAAAAAATGCTTTGCTGAGTAATTAAGGAATCATAGGTGCGTACCCTTGACCTTAAATTTGTTTAACCTTAATTTAACGCAATTTTTACAATTTTCATTCAAAAGTTTTGGCTGGTCAGAACTCAAATGTTGCACTGGACCTGTAAATCTATTTCGCCTCAAATATGAAACATCATTTTATAAAAACATTAGAGTTGAATATAAAAAAACAAGTTATTGGTCGCACATGATTCTTGGAGTCATTATTTTGCACAAAAACGAAATTTTGATCGATAGAATCGCACCTTTCAAATGTATTGTCAAGCGAAATCATTGGACTATTTTCAGCAGCAAGACATGAATATTTTATAGGCCGCAAAAATAACAATAACAAAACTAGAAGTCATCGGCATTTAAAGAAAGGAAGAATAATGTACGTCCTCTTATTCACGATCACGAGATAGTCATTGAATTGCTTCTGTAGATACAATATATTTGTATGAAATATTTATTGCCGTGCAATAATCAAAAGCAAACGGATGATGTGGTGGAAAATTACTTGTCCAGCCATGCTGACGACTTACCAAGACGTTCGGAAATCTGGGAGTTTTTTGTTTGTTTGCTGTTGTCTGATTTATTTCCTTATGTCCCTCTCTGAAGCACTATTCCAACCTTCGTAAAATTGTGGTCTATCACCGAATACTTTGACTATAGGCCGCATCAACAATTTTCAATGAGTCGTCGGTGAGAAAACGGCCGATAATCGAGCAAATACAAAGCTCCCAAGTTTAAAAGAATTTCATAAGCTAATTTGTTTAAAACGAATAATGGATTCCTCATCATCCAAATGCAAACAAACTTGGCTTCCTATGTGCTGTTTGTCTGTTGGACATCAACTTTCGTTTAAAATTAATTTTTCCATAACCAAGGGAAGCTTCAGAGCGAAGAAACGGAACGAAGAAATTTGCAAACGTTGTGTGGTGAGAATTAACGCGGATGCGTATCTCCGTTCATCAATCTGCAAATAAGACCTGCTAAACTCGCAAGCTGAGGTACGGTACAAATGTGAAATATTCGTGACGATAAGCGAAATGAAATCTCCGCGAATTTCTTTAACCATTTCGAGAGGAGAGAGAAATTCCACGAACGATGTTAGCTCAGTTATCCCAGCTGCTTTCTCCACTACGTCGGGCTTCTGCGACGGGGTGTTCGTCTAATTTTTTTCTTCAGTTTCGCGTCGCGGTGGCAGTTTTAATTCCGTGGTTCTCAAATTTGCCATTCGCTGTCGGGAGTACATCCGTCGACGCCTCTCTTCACTTGCCAGGAAAATTTGTGGTCCACCCGACTTGCTGGTATATTCTGACAGATGTCCTCAAAAGAGTCAATCCTTTACCAGCTGATTTTTCTTCTTCTTTATGCATAGCTTGTTTGTCGTACATAAAGTACGCAGTCATGATGGGGAAAACGAACAAAAGCATTGAAATCTATCGGTTTTAATGCTCATCGAGCATGATAAGCAGCATGAATTGAAATTCAATTCTCTGTTAACCGATTTCGATTACGAACATGCAAGAATCAAGGACTCCCTAGTCTGAGCTATATTCGTCTTTATTTTCACAGAACACTCACCCGAACATTTGAATTTATCGCAAGACCATTCGAACTATGCGCAATTCTTATCATTACTAAACGGAATGCTCTGAGAGCTTGGATTTATTTTCAAACTTCTTGAGGTCACTATCATTATTACACTAAACTGCATTCGAAGTCTTTGATTTTGCGTTTTTTTAAACGTACTAGCTGTAGTTGTAAAATTTAATGATTGAATAATTTTTCGCACGCATGTACACGAGGGAGGGACGAAACGTTCTACGCCCTACTTCGACTTATAGTTCTGTGGGTGGCCAAGTTTCTGAGTCGGGGTTCTCAAAACCAATGTGGGTCTGCATACTTTGGGATAAACAAGAAGGCTGGAAGGAATCCTTGTGTAGATAATACGTCAATCTCCAGTCATCCAAGAAAACGTCGAGCAGGAAAACACAGGAGTCGAAGGAGACTCAGGACCGGTAAACTCATAATGGAACCCTGATCCTTCATCCGCCCGAAAAAATTATTTGCTTGCGCTTCAAATTAGGTTCTGTCACTCTCCGTCGCTTCTAATTGGACTGCCGTGGGTAGAGGAAGCTTTCATCAGTGGTGCTGACTGGATTACGCTGACCAGTTCCGGAGCCGGGCTGAGGAATGATGAATGGTTCCGTGCTGTCAGTGACAACGTATTCATAGGCTGAACCAAGACGGCTTTCGCCTCGGGCAACAGTTGATCTGCCGCCGGAGTCATTGTCGTATCTCCGCTGTTTCCATAACCACGGACACGTATACTTCCACGAGCTGTTTTTGCAGGGGGAAGAACCGTATTGCTTGCGGTGGAGGGGGGATGGGTGTTAACAGCGCATCTAGTTGATTCATCTCATTCCTGCAAATTCAATTTCCGCTTCGAATTGGCTCGGAAGCCCCACTGAGCATGCCGTGCACTCGGGGCTCGAATGAAACCATATCCACTTCTGTGCTCGGTCTTTTCCCACTGTCGGCTTCCTCGATTTCCTCGGGTCTCACACACGATCGGCCTGTTTTCACAATCTCTGTCACCCCGCTTAGACGCATTGGATATTGGGTTCCTCGTTCAGTTCCGCGTTGAAAGTAGAGCAAGAGAGCTTCCGCGCGGTCCGTTCAATTATGAGCTCGGAGTTGTCCCGCAGAAGAAAAACACTTCAGTGGTAATCTGATATTTACTAGACAGCGGGGAACGCAATCCCCGAGTCCAAAAACAATTCCAATTGCTACGAAGCCACGAGAAAATCATCTTATTTTTCAAAGGAGGAAAACAAAGTAATCCTTATTTGAAACAAATATACGGTAATTACTCTACTTGACAATTGACGTAATTAATTAATTACTGCTTTAATTACTTACACTATCGAGGAGTTCTCGATAGTGTCGGTCGAAAAGAATGCAACATTTTTCAAGAAAATTATGAAAAATTATGAATGTACTGGGACTGTAAGTCATCTTGAAGAACAAAGTAATTTTCGAACTTCTGCTTCTGTTCGTAAGTTTTCGTACAAGAAGAAAGGTTTGGCATCCACATTATGCTGGGTGATGCTTTCGAACGTTTTATTGGGACTACACTAATTCTACTAAACTTTTCTTGTGAAATTGTGTCTCACACCGATCGTTGAATTCCATCTGTCCCACAAAAAAGTGAAAAAGACTTATTTCAATAAAAATGGTTCGAGGAAATCGCAGAAAGTATTTGATGTTATAAAACTCATCAATTTCACCGAAAAATTCATTCATAAGCATTATAGAGCTTACTGGATAAGACATGACATCTATCAAGCAGAACTACAGACTGTATTTGAAGTAATCGTGAGGTGACGCTTCATCGTATTGTGCTTCCAGGGGAGATCAGAATCTCGGGGAATTTTGCTGCTCAATGTGAAAAAATATTATATCATGCAATTTTTCGATGATTGAATCGAAATCACCCAGCATTCTAGAACACCCTAACCGAATTTAAGGATTTTGAAAAGCGACATCTACTCTTTGACGCAGAAAAACTGATCTGATTCTACGAAGCCCGATTAAAGAGCCCGCCATCGAATAAAAAAGCCTAGAACTGCAAGTAGTGGACGCAGTAACCATTCAAAAATAAATTACTATTTGCTTTATTAATATTTACGGTTTGGAATTTGTATAATTTCAATACAGAGTTGTTGACGGAAGAATTTTTCAGCTTTTCGGTGAGGGATTCAGTGAAGATTGATCGTTATAAGGTGGTTTGTTAGAAAAAAAACTATTCTTTGCTTACTCGTGGCTGATTGAGATGGCGAATCGATTGTATTTTCAAGGGAAAAGCTCTCGATTTTGAAGGATTCTTCATGATTTTGTGTGAAATCCAGTTGTACTCGTTACGCACGTTTCATCGAACAACGTTATCGATCAATGTTGCATGCAAGCTGATAAGTCAATTCTCATGTCACAGCAGTGACGGCCGTAGTTTTATCGGAATATTAATTATTTTTGAATAGTCTGCATGTATTAAATATTGAGACCGTCCAATAGAACAGTTTAGCGATAAAGGAACAAAAACATTTATATTTCGAGAAGCAATGCCACGCATGAAAAAGTCACATACGTTATCTGAATGCATCACACACACTAGCAAAAAAGGGACACATGAGTACCAACTAACGATTCAACCAAATGAAAAAAAAATTATCGGGATTTCTTCCAGAAATGCCTAACCGGGTTAGTACGAATTTGAGTCTTGGTCCAAATTGAAGACGAATATCTGAACAGAAAGGAGAGCCACTATAAGCAAATCAAATTTAATATTTGATTCAAATCTACTTAGAGACTTCGGTATTCCATCGATTCAAGTTTAGCATGAATGAGGGAAGACAGCTTCATGTAAAATTCAAGGAAACGACCAATACCGACTTGCGTCAAGAGGCGCGCAATGATCGCGACGGATGAATAGTCGAAAGGTTGGAATAAACTACCAAAATTTAACTGACTATTGGTCACACTTTTTTCATTAAAAACTATGCTCAAAAACGGAGCTGTGCCACACATTCAAGATATTCGAGTATAGATGACATTGACTCAAGAATGCGGTGTTTTTCCCCAGAAAAATGGTCTGAGGCTCGCGTGCATGAGCTGGAATTCAAATGTAGAATGCACAATTTCTTGAAGTTTATAATAGTATAATGGAATACTGCATCAAGGATCATGACCCTCTTGACTGCAATTACCGAGCAACCATCTGCCTAGAAACGTTTTTGGAAAATCTTTCATGGGCTCGGCGCAATTTTGTTGAATAGAGCGAATTTCATTCTTTTAATTGACTTTTGGTGTTCCCCTCATTGGCTATTGATTTCATGAGGCAGTTTATAATCGTACACGGCATATTTTCGCGTCAATACGGCAAATGATGAATGCCTTCATCAAGATTTTCGAGTACATGGAAGTTGACGTATATTTTATCCACTCCATCAAGTGACTGCTCAAACAAGATTAGGAAGAGGTCAAAAACTGAACCTATGCAACTCGTGGTAACTCTCAAATACGGCAAACGACTGACACGCCAAGACATTTAAGCTCCCAATCATCTCAATAGCTATGCGAACTCGTTCTTCCCATTTTTCTCGCATCTAACGCGACGAAATTTGCATTTACGCCTAACCATGACAGCCGTAGATATAAAATGCGGAAAGAGGGAGGCGACACTCGTGGCAGGTGGGACCCACGCTAAAACAAGCCTCAACGAAACACACACCGACACTCCTCATCACTCATTCGCTTCAGTTACCATGAATACAAACGAGCCAAATCCAAAAAAGCACAATATGCTGTTCAAGGTGTTAATAGACACTCGTCGCCAACGCGAACCCGTCGCGATTGCATCGAAACGGTCCAAGATTTCGCGACCCCAGCCGACAAACAAGCAGTTTCCTTGACAGATATCCGAATTTCATGTACAGAAGCGTTCTCAAACACCACAATCTGAACAAATCTCATTCCAAGATTCAATTCATCCGTCAATCGACATTTCCTTCGACGAGCCGGTAACACTTTTTTTTTCCAAACGTAGTGTTGCTTTAAAACAGAAGACAAGGGCTGGCCTGTAATATTCAAGAGGGGCTCATGACAACTGAACAATAACGCGGCAAATGTTGAGTTCAGTGCTGATTAACTGTAAAATAAAATACTTCAAAGAAGGAAAATAAATCAAACGTGGAAAAGGATGCAGTAGAGCAACCGCAAAACATTTTTGAATACTGAATTTTCGCATTTTACAAAGGCTAAAAGAATCTGATTGCTAAGAGCTGAGATATTTTCCCATCGATTGAAATCCACAAGAGCGCATTTCGCGCTTTTTCCAAATCACTTTTCCGACCAACCATCGGTGGATTGCATCAACAAGCGAATATTTGGCAGTTCCTGCGAGAAACCGACTTAGTTTTTCGGGAAGGGCAGTGAAGAATTTGAGAGACGCGCAAGAAAAGAACCAGCCCCGCTGTACTGAGGGAATTTTGAAGTTCACTCATCAATTTTTTCGGGCATCTATAAGAACACCCACAGCGGCTCGTGGAGACAGAAAAGCAAGCAACAACGCGTATTTAGGTAAAACGATAATTTTTCTTTCGCGGCGAGGAACTTGTGTGTAAAGCCGCTTCACATCCCCATGGCCTCTTCTTCTTCATTCGCCTTTGCCAAAGCAAGTAGGATCATAGTCAGTTCCTTCTTGTTGATCTTCCCATCCTGGTTAAAGTCACAGCCTCGCATAATAGACTCGCGGAAATCACTCAGGTCCTGAGCGTCGTAATCCTGTCGATTTTTTTTTAAACAACAAATGAGTTTTTCGAGATCCGACGCATGGGATTCGCAGTGCTCACCTTCTTCGCCAACTCCAGCAGGTCCTTGAGAAATCCTCCCAATTCTTCGTTCTCAATGGTTCCGTTGTTATCCTGCCGAGGCACAATCAAAGCACGTTTCAGTCAGTACCCAGGAGTGGTTTCGATTTTCCGCGCGAAAGAAATTTTTCTTACCCGGTCGTAAAGAGCGAAAACTCTCTCGATGTCCTCCTTGGTGAGTTTGGACGCCCCCTGACACCAGACCAACGGAAACAAGAGCAGAAGTTAGCAAAAGTCACGGCAAGTGAAACTTGAAACGAGGCCCACGTGGTTTACGTTATTTCCTGTCACACGCTCTGCAAGTCGCGCCCTGAACGGAACATCTGTATTCTTCTTTGTCCTTTGCTTCATTAGCTATTACTTCTACGTAGTTTCCTAAATTACAAATTTATACAGGAACTCTTAACAAGGTGGTTTCGAACACAAGCTATTCTGGGAAAAAGCGATACAAAGGTTTTCTGAGCATCTAATTAATTTGAGCGACAATGGAACCTCTCTCTCGGGTTCTTTTCACGTAAACACCCGACCGCTGTTTTTGATTCTGGAGAAATAAATTGGGAGCATCAGAAAGCTGACTTGGAGAAAGAGCCAAACATTCCTGCAATGTTTGCATCAAACGGTGAGCAAGAAGCTTCTTTCCCTCGGTATCTCTCCAAATGAGGATGGGAAACGTGGAAAAAGCATTTTAAGCTGCAGAGGTATGGCTTATATTTCAAATTATTATCAGAAAGGCTTCGCATCACATTTTTGGATGCATAACTTGTGAAGTTTCATGAAGAATCGTGCTACAATGAAGTGCTTTCAATATTCTGCCCGCCCTTGAGCAAGCCTTCGATATCGCTCTCAAAATTACTGAAATGACATGAAGAATGCCGCGAAGTTCCCATTGGGAGAACTTTGACTGCATAATTCAAGGTGGTCGAGATTGAGAATATGGAATAAAAGAATATTTCCTTGAATCAAATGAAATCTTTCGGTAATTTGAAGAAATCTTTTGAGGACCAAGGATACGTGGATATATCTTGAACTCGGTGATGTTAGCACGATTTTTCATGCTGTTCGAGTATTGTTCGGTGAAAATTTGATGTGTCTAGGTGAAAAGAACCTTATACAGACGGGCTATTTTTCGAGAAAAGAACTGCCGGAAATCACGTCTCCTAAACCCTCGTTATTCACAAACCACGGTACTAAGCATGGGAATAAATATAAGAGCGATCCATCATACACTGCTCTACTCCCAAAAAGGCTGGTAAGACTCAACCAAGCATGGCTGGAACTATAATCAAAAGAACTGCACCAAACCACAAAAATAGGATCACTGGATTAACGGATCAAATGCTAAGCCGCAGACCTAAGAATACCCGACCGGAATCACTAACTAGCGAGCTGGTTAAGGTATGCACAGTTGTCCCGGAAGCATAAAATAGAAATGAGTCGCTACTCGAATAGGCTCATGAATTCTACAACAGGAATTATTTGCTCATGCTACGGAAATCTGCCGAGACTCTCTCGCCTGTGAACGCTTGGAGGGATCGGGGAAGTGCAGCCGAGATGTGGCTGGTTACCTTCAACATCGCCAGGAGTTTCACGGTCAAGTGTCGTGGGTCAAAGGGAAGAAAACCGGACGTGCAAGATAAACTCTAGAGAAAAGTTTGCACTGTTTTCGTTTGCTGTGAGGAAGTCCGGGGCAAAGGACGAATCAAGACGTGACTACTCGCTGGCCATTCTTCCAGCTGTATTGTGCAAGTACGAAATTTTCCTTCTGCTGCGTTCGAGGCCAGGGAAGGAGTGCAGAAAAGGGGTTAAGGAGGTAAACTGTCATTGCACCAAAGCGGCGTACAATCCTGAATACGCTGAGGGCTAAGAATAGTAATCGTGGCATTGCAGAAGGGGCCTTTGCTTTAGGGCATTGTCCCGAAGTAGTCATGGGCGTGCTTCCTGCCAAGAACGTTCCTCAGCAGAGGACCTAATCTAGCTTTGAGACTTCCTTCATCTCTCAGAAACATTACTTCGTCAATGGAGATGAACTAGCAGTGGTTCGGTGCTTCAATCCATTCCCACCGTCCGTCCCAGACTTTTCTTTTCTCGTGATGTTGAAAATGATTAGATCTTACTTAGCGAGGAGTTTCATGAACGTAATCTGCTCGATCAAAAATGCGTCTGCTCCATGCAACGACTGACTCTACCTTAAATACCTGTCGGCACAAGAAGTTTTCCTTGACTGGCAACAGCCTGAAAGATAAAGCGATGCATTGATCAGGAAATGTCTCTGCGATAATTATTCGATGTCGTACTTCGCCATTTCGCTCAGTTGCAGCTTCCCGTCCTTGTTGGCGTCGAAAACTTGCAACTGTTGGAAGAAATTGGAATCATTTCCTTCCGGCATTGACGAGAACAGCAATTACAGTACTCACAATTGTATCAGTGTATTCGATCAGCTTATCTTCGGAAACTTCATTGATTTTCTTCGCCTCGCGCAGCAGGTCCCTCAAGAAGCTCTGATTGATACAAGGATTTAATTAGGTCCGACGAGAGGTTCTTCGAGGAAACAGAGGTTTTACCTTGAGCTCGTCGGCCTCAATGTACCCGCTGTTGTCTTTGTCGTATTCGCGCCAGATCTGCGGAGCGGAAGAACACGGGGGTAAAACGAGAAGACAATTCGGGGAAAAGCCAAGTTCAAGGGAAATTGCTTATTATCCGGCGCGTCCTGAATTCGCGATTGGGATGCCTGGAGAATACTGTATATCGACGATTGTGAATTCCTTGCGAGGGTTTCCGGATCGGGGAGAGGCTTTCCAGATAGGTTCGTAGCGAGTTTAAACGCACCGTTGAGACCCGGGTATATTCGGCTGCATGCTTGACCTCGTTTCTAAGCCCCAATGATTTCACCAGTAAGCAACACATCAGCCCCATCAGCAATGGACTTCAACCCTTCTACTTCTCGAAACGGGGAATTCATGCGAAGATCTCAAAGAAAAGAATAACAAACACGAGTTGGAGTTGCACGGGAAGATTAAATCGATTCCAGTGCTACTATCTAAAGATAAAAAATGATAAAAATGCATTCAATTCGTTTTATTTTTTAAGCGTATCATACTTTATAGTTTGACGTGGTTATAAACTGCTGCTGGCGGCTACAGAGACCGAATTTCCACCCTTGTGCAGCAATATGATGGGGCTTCGACTGGACATTTAAATTGAAAAACTGTTGACGAAAATGCGACCCTTCTCACGAGGAAAATCCCGCCGAAAATATCTGCCGAGGGGTGAGCCCGACGCAAGGTACATCGTTCCATCGTCTGAAGCTTACATTGCTTTCGAAGCGGATGCGACAAAATTTGTTCGAGAATATTGTGCAGATATGTTGGAAGCAACTCAGAGTTCGAAGTTATACAGCTGTGGCCCGTGATTTTCTAGAGAATGTTTCAATCTCAGAGCACACTGCGTTATCAATAAGACAAATAATTCCGGACGTGAGAGAAAATTCGATTGAAGTTGCTGAATCGTATTGATTCCCAAAGTTTGACGGCACCTGCTTTGAACTCAGTACAGGTTTCAGCTCAGGAAATTTCGGCACGAGCTTCCAGGACTCGCGTTACATCGGCGGTCTTATTACGGTATTTCGTGGAATATCGGAATTCATTGAGGAGCTCTCAGCCCGGGGCTCCTTCCATTCTGGTTCGTTACTGTTTCCAGAAATTAGTACTGTTCGGGTTCTCTTCATATATATTCTTTTTAATCGCCGTTCGAAAGAAAAATTCAACAGGAAGTATGAGAACGATTCTGAACTTCCCAGCTTCTCGCGCATAATGGGAAAACGTCAGCTGTAAGTCACGATGATGCGTGAGTCATCATCCCGATGGTATGCCAATAAAAGTTTAGAAATTTGAAAAGTTATTGGAAAAAACTAAATATTTTTCAGATAATTGGGAAGCTCAGTTGCATTATCTTATCTGCCAGAGACACGCCAACACAGCGAAATGCATTTTCAATTAATTTTTCAACATCTTACATCAAGTGCATTTAAAACTTTACACGCTCAAGCTGCGTGGGCGAAATTTCATTCCCATGTTTGCGGAACGGATTGAAAAATTATGCAAAGAAATTACGACCATCTCCCGTGACATAGAGCTCGGTAATGTCAAGATTTTGAATATGAAAATACAGTATGTGGACCATCCTTTGTGCATTCAGAAAGAGGAACTCACTTTCATGAACTCCACGCTTGAGTCGAGCGGGTTGTCAAAGCGGAAGAGAAGGAGAAAATTCTGCTCCATGGGTAGCAGTTGCGCCAACTGGGAAAGGAAACGCGACGTTCATGAATTTATCAGCTCAAAAACTGTAACTCAAGTTCTTTAAACATGAATTAGTTTCATTAAAAGTAATGTTGGCGTAGCTACGCCATGAAAACCTCTCTGATGTCAATTTTCCCATCTTGGTTGTCGTCGTAAGCTTCCATGAAGCATTCTTTCAGCTCTGCAAGCATGCTGTCGGATACGGCCTGGAACATAGGAACGGGTAACTTCGGTATACATTTCCGGTTATAGTTATATGCACCCGCGGCTGCTCGGAACAGGAAGGAAGCTAACCGCGGGCGAGGAAGCTGTCATTCTCAAATCCAAGAAAGCATATTGCGTTACTTGCTGAAACTTTTTGATGGATTTTCATCTCGTGTCAGAATTAAGACGCTTTTAAGAACCGACGGAAAATCGCAGAAAAGCCGACCAACCTCGGGCCCCACGTCCACGGAGTTCACACTGGCCACAAACTCCCGCAGGAATCCGTCCAGCTCGGTTCCCTCAATGTATCCGTTCCCTGCCAACAAACGCATGCAAAAACGCTGCTTATTAATGCAAGTCACACGTCATGTCGCGTGAAACCTGGAAATGACGGAAGCTCGGACTTCGGAATGATATCTAGCTGTTTCCTGGAGCTGTCTAGGAGTCCAAAAGGAAATGTATAGATGCCGAGTCGTTGTGCTGATCAATCTCTCGACTGTGCCCATCAAGGGAGCAAAAAATACATCTGGGCAAGGTTATCTCAATGAGCGGGTGGTGCATAGGGTCACACAACTTGGCCCTACAATAAACCAAATAGAACGCAAGCGTTGCGATAGGGTCGAGTGGGGACCATACTAACATCTCGCCAACATCTGAACTCTCCGGAGAAACGCACGACATTACTCTAGTTTGCTTTTGTTTCCACAGTCGTTCATCTGGTGGCTTCAGTGAAACGAAGTTCGGTGTGTGTTTGAGCTTTCGTCAAGCATACCGAGACTTCTATTCAAATCGCTTAATTACACACTGAAATCCCTGAGCCGTAAGCGCGACGGGCGACCCTCATATTCTGCTCACATGACATGGTCTATTGAAGTCTCTCCGCGCCTCATGCATGTGAATTTCACCGACGCAGGAATCAGAGTCTCCTGGGAATGACATCTCATGCCTGTCACCCACTCTTGAGGTTCTCGAGCAATATACGTACGTGGGTGTTTGCAGAACATGGAATAATTCTTCTCGCCGACCTTGTTTCTATTTCTGCTCAATTTTGTTCGACTGGCGTACAACTAAAACATTCCTGCACCGTCGGAAGAGATAACCGCAGGAAACTCAGCAGAATAAAGCGTTCAATGATTTTTTATGCATATTCTATTCACCCGTCAGCACTTTAGCATAATGCACCCTTTTAAAGAAAATGCGAGGGATTGCCCATAAGTTTGGACTTTGGAATTAAGACATTAATGCTCTAAGCCAGTGTTATTTCCCCCAACCCGTGTCCGCAGAAGTTTTTCGCTGGTCCGCAGGATTTTTTTTCAGCATAATAAAAATTTCAAAAGTAGCACAAAGTCTTGAAGACATTTTCAAACATTCCACTATAACTGCTTCATTGGTTCGTAACTTCATTTTTGAAAAAAAAAGAAGCAAAAACTTTTCAAATACCTGCCTAGCATTGTCTTTCAAACAATGCTTTTCTGAGTCTGAATGAATTTTATTAAAATTTGCCAGTCCGCAGAAATGTTTTTGGAAATTTGCCGGTCCGCAGATTTTTTTTCTGGAACTTTGCCGGTCTGCGGGAAAAAATGGTTGGGGAACACTAAAAGCCTCGCGGTTGTCTTCGGCTATAGAAGAATTAATGCCATAATCCCGCGATTTTCATGTCATATAGAAACATAGATGATCGATGCGAATTGGGCTCCGAAATTTCGGGTAGTGCGCAAGAAAATTATCAGTTAATCTAAAACTTGAAAATAAATTCCCAAACAAGCAGAAGGCTTGCTTCAAGTCTTTTAATGGATTTCACAAGCACTTCGAGGGCCCTGAGAAATAAACTTTGGTGCTGAAAAATCTTCTATGCGGATGCTGAAATTCTCGATTCCAGGTATGCTGTATATAAGTGTGTAGTGTCAATTTTTGGATTTATTACAGATAAAATTTTTTTAATCGCCAGAGTTTATGTTCAGGACCCACAATTTGATGGGATGATTCAGCTTTTTTTTGGATTGGAAAAATTCCGTCAGTTGATTCCGGTTGCTGGTCTCCAAACTTATGAACCATCCCTTGTATATACGCTTAGCACAGTACAGTATACGCGCTCCCGTCGTAATTTCGCGCATTCTTCAGCCTTCCATGTACTGAAAGATGCATTCTTTAGCAACATGATTGCACCTGGTATGTGAGAGGTTTGCTGTACCTGCACAGGATGGTTAACATACTTCTCCTCTCAAGTTTGACGGAGCGTTCAGATTTTCAGAAGTGACCGTCGGCTGGTTGATTCATGAATCTACCCAAAAAGCTCTGACGCTTCCGGAAAGGAGGGAAGACTAATTCCCGGTAGGATGAAAGTTTTACGTCCCTAGCTCGGGTGTTTGTTGCGGTTGTCCAACCTAAGAGGAAGGGCAACTCGGATCTCCAGCAGCTACAAAGCAACGGGCTGAGTAATGCACATGAATTCTTCATCCGCACGTCGAGGCACCGAGCTTGCACCTCGACATGTCCGCCGCATTACCCCTCACTTTTAACGGCTTAACTCGATGAGAACTTAATGGATTTCTTTCCGCATATCCGGAAAACAAACTTGAATCATTAAGTTGCCTGCTGGCGAGCGACCTAGAAGCCCTCGCCCCTACAGTTGTTTTGGTGTCGACAATTCGTCAGGAAGAGAAAATTATAGAGGTTTCGATGTCTGTCTCGCCTGGCATCGAGAGGCGCCATCACGGTCTGGGAATCGGTAATAGCCCTCCTCTTCACACTCCGTATAGATGCGGAGCGAATTGCTTTTTCCACAGAAGGATGCACCCGGAGAAAATTCGGGCTCTCGAGTCAAGTCAGCCGTTGTTGGAATCCCAGGTCACGGCCTCGGCTCGGCCACGGAATATAAAATAGCGCCAAAACCCGTTCCACGAGGGGGGGTTGAATTTTCTATAACCTTGTAGTGTAGTCTTTCTCTGTTCCCATACGCGTTGAATCGTGTACTTTTCAGGCCACTGCCATCAGGGGATGAGGTCGACCATGCAGGGCGTGCTTCCGCGGTTGCACGACCACATCTGCCGATCTGATCAACCAAACCCGCAGGAAAGGAGTTTTCCTCGTGGAAAAACAAATACGCCTTTCGATCTCAGTGGGCTTAACGAGTTGCGAGAACACCCCATCCATCTTTTCTCCCCGCATTTGTGTCAAATGACGGCCTTTTGTTCCGAGTACTTCATTTCATTCAATCACGGGGGATTTACATTTTTTTCCTTTTCACGAACCCTGGGTGTACAATACATTTTCTTCATCCCTGCGGCGAATACGTGATAACTGCGGGGCTCTTGGAAATTCCCCGAACAATCCTCGCTTCTTCATGCCGAGACACATAAGCTGATGTTTGCAGAGCATGAAAAAATTTCCCGTTCTGCAATAGTACATGACCGACCACTAATCGTGTAACCAAACTTCTGAAAAGACTATGAGAGTGAATCATACGTTCATTATTCTTCTTAAGAGTCGAACACAAATTATCCGAATAAAGCGGCGTGACTCCCATTATGCTCTATATGCATCAATTATTAGGATTGGAATCAGCGATTTTATAGAATGAAAATTTTCTTGCATCAAAATAAAAATTTGCCTTAATTGTTTCTTATACATTAGTGTACGGTATTCGATAAGCTAGGAATCATGTTTTGCTAGTCATGGATTCTGGTAGTTTATAGGGATATAATGAGGCATAAGGTAGGTTTAGCTCGGTTCTCCAGGTTAGGTTATCATGTTCGGTCAGATCAAGGTTGCAAAGCTCTTTGATCTTATTGTGATCCGCTGGAAGATTAAGGAATTAATTCGAAGGGTCAGTCGTGCAGTATAACAATGTTGTATAGGAAATTCGGTCGTCACGCACTGTCACAACGTGATTTCGGTCGGTCACGTACTACTGTAACATTATCCAAAACTATTTTTATGATGATGCGGATATCTCTATACCAGAAAGCTTTCATTGAACGTGCTGAGAGGAGAAAAGCGAGTAGTGCGGAGAATTTCACCGAAAATGAACGCGCTTTCAGAACAACGACGCTTGTGTTGTGGGAGTATTTGTCAGAGCATCGATCCGAGCCAACAGGGACGGGACATTTACAGGGGAAACTGATTCTCTGTGCGAAGAAAATTGCGCAGTTCTTTGCAAGCGTTATTCGCGAGGGAAGAATAAGAAAAATGTCGAGGATTCCCCGGCAATCGCAACTTCGTAAGCCTGCCCCAGCGGCGTTTTCATTTTCGTTCTGGCGCACGTCGCGTCGGCCTCTCGCGACATGGTACCTAGTTATTCATTCCTCCGACGGATGTGTTTCATTACTGGATTTCCCTTGATTTGGAGCCAGGACGAACATCAATCCCTTTGCCGGGGATGTTGTCATCCAGGGATTTTCCTCGTGTGCCGCGACACCCACGAGCCCCCCTCCCCAGGCCTTTTTTTCTCGTTACTCGTCCATGATTTACTTTACTGCTTGTCATATGTGACCCAAATGTTGATATCTTTGTGCCCAGGTCCCCAGCAAACATCGCGCACATGTACCCAATCACACAGTGATCCGAGCCCTTGCTTGTCTTAATTGAGGAGGTGTTTGTATGTTCGATTCGCTCATTCGTTTTCCGAGTTGTCCTGGCTAATGTGATTTATTTACAAAAGCCGTGGATCTCAACCAGTACAAGGCGGAGTTCTGACAGCTCCATTTAACGGGAATCCGTGCTTCTTCCAGGAAAATATGAATGAATAATATAATGGAATGAAAACATGAAACAGAAACATACTCCATTTACACGGCATTTTTATTCATTACAAAAATTATCGAAATCGACGTGGAACCCATAAAATATGCAAGGACTTCTTGCTTCCTAACTCCAGGTGACACCGTTATTCGCGTCCAGGTCTTCGCCAAAAGTACTGATTCAGTAAAGGGCTTCGCACAAAAGGAAACTACGCTTCAAACGTCAAGTGATAAATTATCATTGGCTCACGCGTAAATTTTATTCTGACCATGGAATAAAGGAAGCATAATCACGATATGCATGCGTATCGCGGCACGTAATTTCCTTATTCAGACTTACCGCGGAAAAGTAGCCAAAGGTGATTTCATTTCCTCCTCCGGACGAGCCACGAGGAAAATAATTTCAGGAGATGAAAGCAGCTCGAAATGATGACACGAACCCGTCCGATTAAATCTATTTCCCCCTTTTCTGGCAAGTACGCTGCATCTGATAGCATACGCCGATTCGTTGACACACGCCTACGGCTGATGGTTTTGCAGAGAAATACTCACAGTGTAGGCATCGATCAAACTTTAA